TCCCTTAAATTCACTGGTGCCTTAAATACACTGCTACCTTATGTGTGGTGTGTAGAGTGTGTGTAGTGTGAGGTTTTTATTGTGTGTTGAGTGTTTGGTGTGTGAAGTGTTTGTGGTATGGAGTGGTTTTTGTGTTTAGTGTGTGTTGTGTGTAGAGTGTGTGGTGTGTTCATGGTGTGTGTATGATGTGTGGTGTGTTTGTGATTTGTGTGTGATGTGGTGTGTTTGTGGTGTGTGTGTGTGTGTGTGTGTGTGTGGTGTGGTGTATTTTGTGTTGAGTGGCTGGTGTGTGTGTGTGTGTGTGTGTGTGTGTGTGTGTGTGTTGCGTGTGTGGTGTGGGGTGTGTTGAGTATGTATTGTTACTGCTGTCACTGTTGTTACTGTTTTATTTCTGTTTTATTACTATTTTATTTCTGTTCTAACCATTTTAGTTTTGTTACTACTGTTATTACTACTGTTATTATTACTGTTTTTGTTGTGCATTAGGCTGTAAGCATGTGAGTGTGTGTACTGTGTATGAGTGTCTGTAGGAGATGTGCATTGTGACAGTTGGATTAAATGTTCTGCACATTATGGCATTAATTTTCAATGGAAAAAATTTAATTTTTGAATGATTGTTTTATGAAAAAACATCAGATCAGTCTAAAAAGCACAAGCATGTTATTCCTGCATATGAGGAACATTTGTGCAAAATTTGTATGCCAAAAACTGTGGACTGTGAAAAGTTTACAAAAGTTGAGCACAGAATAACAATAATAAAAGAAAGATAATGAAGAACAGTAAATTGGCTTTTCCAAGCCAACATAACAACAACAACAGCAACAACAACAGCAACAACAACAACAACAACAACAACAACAACAACAATAATAATAATAATAATAATAATAATAATAATAATAATAATAATAATAACTTGGCTTTTCCAAGCCAACTTAATAATAATAATAATAATAAAAAGATTATGGAAAACAATACATTGGCTTTTCCAAGCCAAATTATTAATAATAATTATAAATATAGCCACAAGCAACAATTAGTGTGTTCAAGAACGCACCAGCAAAATAAGCCCTTTTGCAATTTTAGCCATCTAGTTCATCAAAAGGCCTTCGTTTGCCATAATTGTTCAGCAATCGTCTTTAAACATGGTGCATGATTCATTTCATATGGAATAAGCTACTGAGCTTTGATGAATATGCAAAAGACTGTCAACATAGATGTCAAAAATACATGGCTAATGGTAAAATTTCTGTCATAGTTGTATTTGCAAAGTGGTTTGGTTTTCCCTGTTTAACCCTTTAATATGCATGCCATAATGAGGCCTGATGCACCCATAAGGGGCCCTTTTGGCATAGAAGAGCTAAGTGAAAGTGGGTCGGAATTTGTCAAAAGGTCTCCATATGTTATGAAAATTGATCAGGGACCTTCAACGAAGGTGTTCACTGAGTTTTGTTCAGACTTACCTTTTGACCTTTGTACAATAAACTGTAGCCTTTGAATGAATAATTTAAAATACCAGACAAGGAGTCCAATTTATGTCGTAACATGTAATTACAAAGTTTTTCAGGTCAGTAAACTGAATCACATGGCACTAATTGTTTATCTGTAGACTTTGTAATAACATTGTAATATTATTAATGATTTTGAGTGCTAAAGGGCCCCCTAAAGGCCAATCTGGAAATTGTATAACTCAAAGTCTCATGCTGAGTTCTAGCAATTTAAGCTAGCAAAGCCATGATCTCAGTGATTAACTTATAGACCAAAACCATGTTAAGTAGTTAATATTTTTTTTCATTTACCTAGAGAGTCCAGAGTATTCCTAGAGCAATTTCAAGAAGTTAGAATCAAAACCCAAAGACTAGTTTGAAAACTGTGGTTCTCAAACAATTAACAATTATTGGACGTTCATTTATGAATTTCAGATTGATCGAATGTATGGATGCTGAGAAACAGTCATTAGCAGTTACAGCACTGCCTAACGATGTAGGCACACCAAAATTGATAGGCTACCTCAGAATTTCCTACTAAATAAGCAACTCAAGTTTCAAATTTTTTGGATGAAGGAGTCTTGAGTTATAGATTTTTAAACTAATTATGAATTATTCTGAATTATTGCAGAAGGTTTTATTAGCAGCCACATTGTTTACAAAAGTTATTTATTAGATTGTTATTATTAGAGGTTCAAGCTCTTCTGATTTTTTTTGACACCAATTACATGAGGATCAGGCAAAAACCCTAGGACTAGTTTACAAAAGTAGGTTTTGCATATCATGCTGTTATGCAAAAAATCTAAGTAAATGGAGCAAAAAGTACAAATTAGTTTGGTTTGACCTAAGGAATCAGAACAGAAATGCATTTCTTGTCTAATATTCCTTTACGAGTTACACGGCCAAACACATTGTGCTGCTCAACAGTGCCCCCTTTAGGCCAATTGGGCACATGCTGTGCACCTGAGTAGCAGAAGGGAGTGCTACTTATTGACCAAGTTTCATGTCTCTATGACCTACAGTTTGGCCTGGCCAGATTGTTTCAGGGCAGAAAAATAATAAGAAAAATCTTGACAATTGTAATAAGATTCTATGCACTGTGTCCTTGAACCCTAATAATAAGATTACAAAGAATAGTAAATTGGCTTTTCCAAGCCAACTTAAAAATCCTAGCAAAAGCAAAAGCAAAAGCATTCCAGGCACCTATGGTGCTTGGACCCCTAAAAATCCTAGCAAAATCAAAATGGTTCCAGGCACCTATGGTGCTTGGAGCGCTAAAATCCTAGCAAAAGCCATAGGATTCCATGCACCTATGGTGTTTGGACCCCTAAAAAATCTTAGCAATTCCAATAGGGTTCTAGCATCTGTGGTACTTCGAACACCTAGTAATAATATGTTTAATATATACTGCATATATTGGCACTGGCAAAAACAACAGACTAAAAGACGTGATCTGAAGTGACTTAGAATAAAGTCTTGTTATCTTCTTATGAACTTACATTGAAAGTGAGTAATGTTTTTTCTTTTTCCTTAAAGACAGGGTATGATTATGCAGCCATGCTTGTGCAATGTGCAGGAAGTGGCTTGCCACTGTCAGATTTATTTGGCTTGGACAGCCCTGAAAAAGATGTGTTCTAGGAGGCAGCATATGTTGCTTAAAAATGTGTATGTATCTTTCAGTGTTAAGGTGCTTTTACAGGCAAGTTAACCATGCCAAGGGTGCTAATACACAAAGATAGAGCCTTTTTGGGGTCTATTGAATCTGGCTTTTGAACCGTATGCAGGTAACAAGCTGGATGGTCTTTTGTTTATTTACATAAACTATCTGAAAGGCGGGCTCATCAGATCTCAAAGCATTTTCCACAGTGCATCAGTCCATTTCAATTTATTGCCAAATATTGGGCCTCATTCACCAAGCATTCTTACGGTATTACTCTTGAAATTCACTCATGAAGATTTTGACATTCACCAATGTTTTCTTATCTGGGATTTGTTTGGTAAGAACAGTATCTTCACACACTTAAGAGCACAAAGAGAACAGTTCTGCAGTTAAAGAACACATCATGAATCTGACATGGACTTTTTACTAAGTTTATAAGAAAAAGTCTAAGAAAGATTCATGACATCTTAAAGCCACACAATTGTTTGCACCTTTGTGCTCTTGAGTGTGCATAGATTCTGTTCTTCCCTAAAAACAAATCCCAAATAAGAAATCTTTAGTGAATGTCAGAATCGTTGTGAAAACTGCGCAATAGGTTTTAGTAAAAAAAAATCTTTATAACCATGATTGGTGAATGAGGCTCATTGTTCTTATATTGTTAGATTATTCACTAATTTATTTCATGATGAAATGGCAATCCTCGTACCATCCTTGCTCACCAGGGACTAGGTGTTTCCTAGATGCTCCTTTTATAACCAAACATGATTGCATCACCTTTTTAAGATGTTTTCATTTAAATACATACCAAAATGCTTTCGGTTTTTATTTGCATTTCACATACTGTCCCAACTTTTTTGGAACTGCGGACTGCGGTAATAATAAAATTAATAAATGAAAAAAAATAATAATAATAATAATGTACACACACACACACACACAGCTGCTGAGAAGGAGGCAGCTTTCTGTCTCTCAGTGAGAAGGAGCCAGGATGAATGAATGAATACACACTCCATGTTGATGCTTTGAAGGAGGCTACTGGTGACACATCACATTCACTTTGCCTCTCCACTGTGTCTGAGCTTCAAGATCAGCAGTCATACCGCACCCACTGCATCCACCTAGCTCTAGCACAGGAACGATTACTCAGCACAAAACCAACACACACTTAAACACGCACTAAAATGCACATATACACTAACACAGAAAAAACACAATTTGTTACTTATACCACACCCTGTCAAGGTTCCGTGAAAATTAAGCCTTTTAAGGACATTAGTGACATCAAAACGGGTCATGTGGACCAGTTAATGATCTATTGCATTGCAAGAGAAACAGAATGGGTGCCAGTGTATTATCTAACATATTTGAGCAATGCATTTGCAGAATATTCAGAGCTGTCTTGGACCACCAGTAAACCACCAAATGTGCTCACTGTACCAAATGAAAAAAATGAGAGCTAAAAACATTCAAACACACATATACCCATGCCTATGCATGCTATTTATTAACCTTCTTCATGCTCCCCCTCCTTCTTAGATCTTCTCAACCTTACGCAACCAACTGACATGTAAGCATGTAAGATTCGTTAAAGGAATAGTCTGACCTTTTTCAATCTAATCTTCACTTGCCATATATGTAGCATTTGGTTGATTAGCACAGACAATAAATGCATTTAGAATGTCTTTAGAAAAGATCAGAAAACAAGTTGATTCAAAATTCACTTGCGCTTTACTGAATAAGGCTAGAGTATTTATAGCAGACATTCTTGTTAGCGTACTGACACTGCATGGAAACTCAGCTGTTAGTTAAACACTGATCAAATCTTATAGACACACACAAACACACACACTCACCACTGCACCTCCAGTGCATGTACTCTGTTCCACATCCAGAATGGTTGGCATCTTGCCACAAGAAAAAATCAGAGCAAGTGAGAGATACAAGAGGCAAGGCAAATGGACAAGATAAAAGGAATAGTGATGGCCAAATGGACAGAGGGAGAGTGTCTTGGGTGTGTAAGACAGAGGATGAGATCATCAAGATGCAGAGAAAGGAACAGAAGAAAGAGAGAATGAGAGAGCGGGTGAATGCAGCTTGTGCTTGCGAGGCAGAGCGTGTTCATGCATACAAGAGCCCTGAGCAGCTGTGATTGGAGAAGAGCTGGTCAGCTGGGTGGAGGGGGTGTCAGGGGCACAGAAAGGAGGAGTGGGATTGAGGGGAAGGTTGGGGGGGGGCAGAGATAGATCAAAAATCAATAAATTGCTGTATGTTTGCCAATACATATGAGCTATATGAGCTACGGCTGTCACAATCTCTGTCTAAACAAATCTCAGTGTCTGCAAAATGTTAACTTTTCAGGCAAAGGAAAGATATTCTTAAATTTAATGCAAGTTGATGCAAAAAGTCATTTTAGGCTGGTGGTAAAATTATAGACAATAAGCAACCTATTTATTATGCAAATAATAACTATAATGAGTATATTGTTTAAAAAATAAAATAAATAAAAAGTCTTGTTTTTATAAAAATAACAAGATCAAAAGCATTATGTATATGATGTTCTTTTCTTTTTTTCTTCTCCTTTATGTTTTTCCCCACCCTGTCTTTAAATTTCTATCATCCACAAAACTGCAATGTCATTTACCACCCTAAAATTTAGGCTTTATATGCACATGAGCAATAAATACATGTCACACTGGGGTACAATGCACCAGTGTCAGCTTCATGTCTCTGAGCCAGTGAAAAACATTACCTGTCTCACTGTTGCTTTGAACACCAGCATTGCTGAAAGCTTATTGATTTTCTTCTCCCCCTCTTGCCAATGACAGTAAAAACTGGTGAGATACTGAGCGCCTTTAGACAGCACAGTATTTAAGCAACTGCGGTGATGCTGTCACATCATTCAGTTGTGGTATTTGTGAAAGAATCATTTGAAAATCAGCAATAATGTTCTGATGTATTTGTAAGACTTGCACCTTGTGTTTTTCTTTGAATAAAGAAGTGCTGCTGGCAGGCAGAATTTGAGAAGCTATGACCAGAGGGTTAACAATGTTTCATGATGCTAAATACATTTTGCGTGCCCTACTCAAAATAATGGAATTATTAGGAGAACACCATGGTATTATATAATACCAAGTATGTACTATTATATTATTTTAATGTTTTTGCTATAAATGTACAGGTGTACCTCCAGCCACAGATTAAGTTTTATGATCTGCAGTAGATTTAATGACTGACTAAATTTGCCATGAAAAATTAAACATTTAAAAAAAAAGTATGGACAGATTTGTGATCAATGGCATTCAAATTAATGTTCTCTTTCTCTCGCTGTGTCTCACACACACACACACACACACACAAGCAGCCCTGGCGCCATTCAGTAATATATGTATTACAGAGTGCAAGATGGACATAGAAAGCATTATAGTGCATTTAGTTAACAGATCAACAGTTAATACTTTGACACAACGCATAAAGTGTTTATGAATACTGCTCACCGTAGGCATTAATATGGAGTTGGTCCTTCCATTGCATCTGTAACATCTTCTACTCTTCTATGAAGGCTTTCTACAAGATTTTGGAGCATGTCTGTGGGAATTTTTGCCCATTCATCCAGAAGAGCATTTGTGAGATCAGGTACTGATGTTGGACAAAAAGGCCTGGTTTACAATCTTGGTTCTAGATCATCCCAAAGTGTTTGATGGGGTTGAGGTCAGGGCTCTGTGCAGGCCAGTCAAGTTATTCCACACCAAACTCAACCAACTATTCCCTTATGGACCTTACTTTGTGCACTGGGGCACAGTCATGCTGGAACAGAAAAGGGCCTTCCCCAAACTGCTACCACAAAGTTGGAAGCATACAATTGTTCAAAATGTCTTGGTATGCGGAGCATTAAGATTTCCTTTCACTGGAACTAAGGGGCCTAAGCCAACCCCTGAAAATGCTTGGCATTGTGTTTGGTGGTGTAAGGCTTGCATGCATCTGCTCAGCCATGGAAACCCATGGCATGAAACCAGCGCACAGTCTTTGTGCTGATGGTAATGCCAGAAGAGGTTTGGAACTCTGCAGTTATTGAGTCAGTAGAGTGTTGGTGACTTTTATGCACTATGTGCCTCAGCACTCGGCAACATCACTTTGTAACTTTACATGGTCTACTGCTTCATGGCTGAGTTGCTGTGGTTCCTAAATGCTTCCACTGGTCAAAAATACTGCTCTCATTTGATCATGGAATATCAAGGAGGGAAGAAATTTCGTGAACTGACCTGTTGCAACAATGGCATCCTAGTACAGTACCACACACAAATTCAGTAAACTCTTTAGAACGACCCATTCTTTCACAAATTTTTGTAAAGGCAGACTGCATGGCTAGGTGAAGTGCCGCCCAATACTTTTGCTCATCTAGTGTCCGTCTGTATATGTGTGTGTGTGTGTTCCGGTCATCATGATGAAAATGAGCTGTAAAAAATATTCTTAAGTATTTATCTCTTTGATCTTTCAAGACATCAGCAAAATTCTAACCTTTATGTAATGTATAATGTCTAAAAGAAAAAAACAATCATCATGAAATGAATGGGTTTTTTTTTACATTTATGTGTGCAATTGTTGGCTCCCCTAGAAATTCTTAAGAGTGAATTCTAGATGAAGTATATTCTCATATTTCAAGTTCACCTGAGTGATTAGGAACACTTAAATGGTCAGCCATGATATCCTGTTTCACCAGTAATTATAAACGAGGCAACACAGGCCAAATTTCCTCAGTCATCTATTATAATGAGAAAGACCATTGAACACAGCAATGATGTGTGACAGAAGGTTGTTGAGCTGCACAAATTAGGAAATGACTGCAAGAAAATAGCTAAACAGTTGAAAATTCCTATTTCTAATAGCGGGGCAATAATTATGAACTGCAAAACAACTGGAAATGTTAAGAGTCTGCCAGGAAGAGGACATGCGTCTATATTGATGCCACACACAGTAAGGAGGATGGTTTAAATGGACAAAGATTCTCCAAGGATCACAGCTCGGGAAAGCCTTTGCTGTCAAGAACCAACAAAATCAAGCACCTACAATTCAACAAATGTTACCGGAACTTTCAGTGGAACTGTGTTCCATGGTCGGATGAGACCAAAATAAAGGTTTTTGGCAACAAAGACCTAAGGTGAGTTGGTTGGGTGAGTTGTGGACACAACGATAGCTACACAGATAAGTACCTTACCCCCAGTGTGAAGTATAGTGACAGTTTTGTGATTTTCTGGGGCTGTTATTCCTCCAAATGCCCTGGAGTATTTATTCACATTTATATATAGTATCAAAGACAACATGAAGTACAAGCAGATATTAAATCAAAACCTGACTGCCTCAGCCAGCAAGCTTAAACTGAGCCATAGTTTGGATCTTCCAGAAGGACAATGAGTCAAAGCACACCTCAAAATTAACACAAAAAGGTTCACTGACCACAGAATTAAGGATTTGCCGTGGTTACCCCATGCCCTCCAGTGACCTAAAGCCCATAACAAAAATGCAGAAAAAGAGGACAGTCTCCAGTGTGTACCTCAGAATACGACGGACCTAAAGAGGCTCTGTTTGGAGGAATGGTCTCAGATCTCTTTCTATGTGTTCTCCAGTCTTAGTAAGCATTATAGGAGAAGACTCAGAGCTGTCCTCCTTCATTCGTGCCAAAACATTTGCGCCAAAAGTTTCATTCGTGCTGTTTCATTTGTTCTGCGTTTGTGCTGATTTTTGACATTAAAAAAAAAAATATCTGTGTTCTTTTAATTCTTAAGGTATTGGATAAATACTTTTTGTCACTAGCAATGACATTCATTTATCACATGATTGACACTGCTTGATGAGGAAGTTCTGAGAAATGCGCTTTTTGCCTCCTAAAAAGCCAGTGTCCCTGAATACAAGTTATCTGGCTTTTTCGGCTTTAATTATTCAGCTTCAGAATCGCATTAAGTAGAAGTCAAGAGCTGATGAAAAGTGATTATTAAAAAAATTACTACTTCACTGTTCGAAAAACATTTTTTAAAACGAATCAAGGGATTTTGTGAGATTGCACATAGTTTAAGGAATACAAACATTAATATTTAATGTGATGGTCTTTCAATGCATCATGTCTGCTCATGCTAATTTGTGACTCAAAATGCTCACCAAATATCAATGAAAACTTTACTGAAACCACCAAGAACACAATAGATTTTAAGAGCAACCATGTGGGCTTTATCCTAACAGCAGCCCTGGAATTTTTGTGTATATTCTCTTTTGGTTCCATGCCATCCGAACTACCAACTGTCCAGGCTCAAAAGATTTCCTAAAAAAAATTTAAAATAAAATAAATCAAAAAGATTACACTTCGATTTAATTCATATAACCATACAAAATTTCAAAGCTGTGCTCCAAGTAATTTTTAAGTTTGCCCATATCAGTGACTGAACTGAGCTAGAATGTTAAATTAAAAAAAAAAATTAAATATAATATCTAACAAATATATATTACCTTTAATAAAATCAAATCTAGAGCATTATAAAGCTTATTTTGGAAATGCAGTGTTTTCATTGAAAACATTTACTTGATTTTTATTGTTACTATTGTATCATTCTCGTTGGGGGGCGGGGAGGGGGAGGTTTGAGCAGTGGCGGCTGGCCAATAGAGGGCACTTTTTTTTCTTTTTAGCTCTGTTACACCCACCCCCACTGAATTCTGACAAAATTATGCACACACTGGGACAATCAGTACACAGTATCTCACACAGTTTGGGTTCCACAATCAGGAAAAAAGACTTTCTTAAGTACCCAATAAGGATGAACTGAAAAGAAAGTGATGTCAAGCCCTCCAACCAACTACCAGATGCAGGATGCCCCTTTACACCCCACACTAACGCATAACTTCCATAACTTCTAAACCT